GTTGTCTTCTTGAGTTCTTGTACTTGTACTATTTAAATTTATTTGAGCACAAATAGCTTCTGTTTTTATAAGCGCAAAGATGTTCTATATTAATTTGCATAAATTTAATCAGAATCCAATAAAAATATTATGCGTTTTAATTATATAAAATTGCATTATGTATATTATGAGGAACAAAAAAAAACAAAAAAAAAAACAAAAACAGAACCCTAAAGCGGTCTTAAGTATTATAATTAAAGCAAAAAATTCCAATTACCATTAAGAAATTAAAGACTTATAAATTGAATTTTTTCTCATTTTCCATATTTTATTATTAATGCATTGCATATCCTCTACACTGTTCCTACTTAAAAGTTCATAATATTTTCTTTTATTAAAATAATATTGATAATCATTTACGGAAATATATATATATATATATTATATAAATATATAATATATTTTTCAAGTATAATTTCTGATTTTTTTCTTATTCTTTTATTCGCATTTATTAACTCTATAGCTATATAGAATATTTTCTTTACTTATTGCTCAAGAATACTTGAATATAGAATTTTTCCTTTAAATAAGGATTTTATATTTTTTATGGGTTTTTATGTTTTTTTTTTGAATTGTGGTCTTAAACCCATAAATGAACAATAATGCAGCAACAGACTCAATCAATAAAATTCATCAACTTATTTTTTAAATTTTCTTTCCCTTTCTCTTTTTTTACTCTTTTTCGTTACTCTTTCTTTTCTACTCTCTTTTTGTTGTGTGAGATTTTTTTTTTCTTGTTTTATTAACAATTTCTTAATAAATTTTGCATTGAATGGGATTTCTCATATAATTAAATTTCTCCATTAAACTCTCGTTTTCAATTCCTCAATGAGTTTTTGATTTTTTTTTTTCAACTTCCTTGGTTTCAATTGTTCTGCTTATGTCCTTGTTTTTTTCAAAAATATAATGCAAGTTTTGAATTTTGATTAGTGATTTCGTATGGCGGTTTTATGATTTTTATTCTTATAATATGTAAGGATAATGTGAAAATCACAGCTTTTCCTAAATCAAATTAAGATAATTGGCATAATCACGTTAGAAATTTATAATAAAAAACTTTCATCAGGTTTTTCAATTCTAGAAAATTTTCTTCCCTCGTGTCATTTAAATTACATAATAAATACCCATATAGAGAGCTTTATGTCAGAAAAATTAAATTACACCTAACATATGTACTGACAATCAATATGACATTTCTATATTATTCAATATTTTGATTGTAATACCATACTTTAAGCTTTTATTCCAGAATTCTGTACTTTACTATACAGTTGCATTAACAATATAATTAAGAGGAAATGTGCTTCTTAACAAACCATGCAAAAATTGAACGTATTGTTAGTCACATGTTGGTTTTTCTTCGTTGAATAGCAAATTCCCTTTCCATAGCAAACACTTAACCAAAATCAATAATTCTTCTAAATTTAAAGGTCCTCTGAGACATCATTATTTAGCCTTCTTAAGTATACACTTTCAAATCAAAAAAAAAAAAAAAAAATATATAACAAAAAATATAAATAAGGAAAATTTTGGGAGGATTAGAAAACGCTCTCAAAAAAGAAATGTCAATAGTTGATATGTAACGCCCAATACAAAGATAAGAATGCGTATATAAATTTAAGAATTTAATGTCATTCTTGTCTTCTAGAAAATTTGTAAATGGTACGTACGTCAAAATATTTTTGTATTTGTTTTTTTAAATTTGTGTGGTTGTACATCGTAAATTGTTGTTTATTATTGTAGGCAATTTAAGGGAAAAAAAATTTTTTTTTTTTTTTGATAATATCAAATATTTTGTTAACATATTTTTATTGCAAGTCCATAAGGACATTTTCTATACCACTTCCAGAAAATGATTTGATAATGACCAGCTAATTTTGTTGAAAAAATCTTTTGATTGTGTTCAAATTTGTTGTTCATCAGCCCTTCTGCAGTCTCTTTCAGGCTAAACTACATTTAGTGTTTATACCGTCGTATATCTCGTACGAATGAATTTTCTTGCGAATGTAAAATTCATAATAAACATCTTGTGCCTCTGAAAGAGCACACGTTTATACTCTTTAAGCTGCGACAACTCTATGATATTGGTTCAAATCTGTGAATTCATTGAGAACTTTACCTTAACCTACATGTAATAAGTGTTGGCAGTTACAGTGGCTTTGCGCTTTTGCAACTCAAATTTAATCATTTGAACTAACGTCATATTGTACAAATGTTTATCACACACAATACTCATATAATTCTCATTCTTGTTCACATTTTCATATAAACGTGCATTATTATCAAAGAAAAATAATTTGTACAAATTTATTTAAAAAAGAAAATCATATATAGAAAATAAAAATATAAAAAAAAAACCCAAAACTCATAAAATGTTATGATCTATTGAAGTCATAATAAAGGACATGAAGAACAAAAACCAAAAATAAAAATCCAAAAAAGGAAAAAAACTTACAAAAAAAAATACAAAAAAATAACAAAAATCCTCCCCTCAAATTAAGGAATTTATTGAATATACATATATACAAAATATATTTATTTTCGCATATAAAATTCATCTGAATATATTTATCCGTAACAACAACAACAACAATCAAAACATAACCCCATGTTGAAAACAAAAAGAAAAAATGTAAACAAAATAGAAAGCAAATCTGAAATCATGTAAACACCAAAATTCTAATGATTCTATTAAAAAGCAACAACATTTTGTCTTCCCATGTAGCAAAAATTTATAAATAATTTTATCCCATAAAAAAAATTTATAATATTCGGGAAAATAAGATTATAATGAGATATACAATTGTAGCAAATTACCTGTCGGGGTAATCTAAGAGGAAATCGGGGATTTTTTAAAGAAGAAGGGGATAAAATATTGAAAAAAGCACAATTTCGATTTATTAAATTCTATTGATTTCATTCAACTTTCAATTTTTTAGTGGATCAAAAATTTTTAACAATAATATTCAAAAGTAGTACCATATATTTGTGTATAAAATGTTACATGGGACATCCATGTTGTTATATTATACGGTTCAATATCTTACTATTCTATTTGTATATTTTCAGTTTACATGCTATACACACAATATACAAAGTCATAAAGATTATTATGACTTTGGTATGTTCACCCGAAAAAAAAAAAAAATTTTACAAAAAAAAAACAAAAAGGGAGAGAAAAAAAAATCAAAAACAAAAAAAAAATTACACAAAATTGAAATAAAATGTTTACAAAAATTCCTATTTTCATTTTGTTACTATATTCCCCTTCAATCTTCATATCCTTCATATTATCCTTTTCTTGCTTCATAATTCATATATTTAAGTATATACAAGAAAATATCACAAAAAAAAAAAATTTGTTGAAAATTTTTGGGGGAATAAGCCAGAAACTAAGTGAAATTCTATAAAACAGAATTATTTTACACCCCATCTCAATTCATTCCTGTTAACATTCACAATAATCAGAGTTACTAGAGTTGATACGAAGCATCTTAGTTTTCTTCTCTTTCCGTTTTTCTTTCTTTTTGTGAAACAAGATTGTGTGAATTGTGGGCGTCGTATTTAAGAGAATGAGTAAAGAAAACAGAAAAAAAAAACAAATAAATGTTATAAAGAAATAATTTACATCAGCACATATGACATTTTGGCTTTAAGGACATCATAATAAAAATTTTATAAGAAAAATAAATAGGAAAAAAAATGAAAGAAAATTGAAAAGAAAAATAAAAAAAAAAATACAAAAACAATATTTTTGATGAAAAAATATTTAAGAAATTATCCCTTTTCTTTTTTTTTTAAAGAAAATACACAAAAAATACCAAAAAAATAAGGACAAAAAAAACAAAAATAAAAAAAATTGGAAGAAAAGGACAAAAAGTCCATTGAATTGGAAAATTTTTTTTTATTTCAATTATAATTTTTGAATGTGTTACAAACCATATAAATAGGACATTTTTTTTTCGTCAAATTAAATTAATTTGAGAGTGTTATGCTAAAATTAGACAATGTAAACCTAAAAATTAAATTTATTTCAGAGTTTACAATATTAGAGTAAAATTTCTTTAATTTGTTAAATATTTAAACAAAACGTGTTAATTTATTAAGTTTTTGTTTAACATATGTAATAGCTATTTAAATTCCAAATGAGGTAAGTCCTAATTATGGTAGTATATAATTATGGTATGTATATACTTTTAGTTACAGCATTTAAAATTTACGTAGAATTCATTAATAAAAAATATTTTCGATGATATCTTAATAATTATATTGATTAATATTCTCAAAAACTTCCTCTGCTATTAAAATAATTTTTAACATTAATTTATAACATAAACATACTCACATAATGATTTCAATAATAATTATTATCGTAGCAATTCTTATCAGTCTCCAATATAGCAAAATAATTACCATATAAAATATTATTCGCTCTAATATATTATACATTCTCAATTCCATTCTCGATCTAGAAGAGAGTAAATGAAGATATGAACGTAAATATTTATAAAAATTATTTGAAACATTATTGAGAGAGAGAGAGTATAAACATTATTTGAGTGAATGTACAAAGTGTTGTGAAAGTACCTATGCAAAATTTAATTGAAGTTAATTTCCTTCTGAAATTGAGAATGCCTTCTGAAAATGAGAACATTAATTTTTGGGAATAATATCCCAAAACTACAATTTTGCAAGTTTTTGAGATTACCAATTTGTGAACTGAGAGCATACAATTATAAATTTCAATGATTATTTTTTTCAATTGAAATTTACTGTTCCGCCAATTTATGTATCCAAAATCCAAGAGGAAATTATTTTAAAAAATTATTAAATACGTTATTTTAATTATTAAAATCTTCTCATTTAAACCATAAAATATTTAAAAAAAATTTTTAAAGAAATTTTTAACACAATCTAATAAGTTATTCAACTAATTATAATTTTTGTATTTTTTTTTTCAGGTTAAACCTGGTTATGTTAAATATCATAAACCAATTAAGGATAAAAATGATTTAGAAACTTCATATGCATATATTCAATTTGTTGTAACTGAAGATCATTTTCAACGTGGTAAACTAAAGGTATGTATGTGCAGTTGAATTTTAATAAATTTTTATTAATTAATCGATGGGTCGAGCATGTTACAAAAACAATTGAATTAATTAAAATTTTTAGTGTAGTCTGGTGTAGGACAAATAAAACAATGTTCTTTAATTTTTCACCAACGTTTCGATTTAATTTTAAAACTTCATCAGGGCTAAAATAATAATTTTATATGACAATAATGTTTAAAATTAAATCGAAACTGTTTAAATTAATTGTTGGTGAAAAGTTAAAGAACATTGTTTTATTTGTCCTACACCAGACTACACTAAAAATTTTTATTACTAAATATAAAGGACGCTACAATTAGAACTTCAAATTGAATTAACATATAAAAATTTCCTTTTTTTTTCAGATACGCTGTCGAGCTCATATACATGATATTTATTCTCAATCAACTGAAAAAAGTATTGAAATTGAACGTCATAAACATAATTCAGTATCAAGTGGATCAAATACAATTAATGTAGTACATGGTTATCCATATGATCAATATTCATTACATGATATTGATAATTATGATAAAAAGGATACATTTATGACACATATACAAGGTAATTATTTTATAATTTTTTTCATTTTCTTCAAATATAGTAGGAAATGTTGATAATACAAAGCTTATATATGCATTACTCTTGGACGGCACTCTTAAAAACTCTTTCGTTTAGAATTTCTATGAAAATTATTGAGGAATTCCTATAACAAATTAATTTTTTACTTATAGCCATTGACAAAATTAAATTAAATTTTAATTTAATACTTTTATTTCCCTTTAAGAAAATTGAATTCCAAACACTCCCGAAATTAATTGTATTGTATAAAAGTTTACGAGTATTCATAATGTCCTTATACTTATGAATTAATAATTTGAAAAAAATAAGAAATGAAAAATCTTGGACTCCAAGAAAATTATTGTATCATTTGAAGTAGAGAATACAAAACTAGCCAAAAAAAACAAAATACGATCATAGAAATTCCATTAGGAAATAAAACTTACCACTTAAGTTGATTTTCAAATATCTTTATCGTTTTTTTTCATTTTCTGATATGGTTTCAACTTGGGGTCTATGCCCTGCATTATTCTAATTTTTCTTTTATAATTTTTTTATATATTTGAGATTTTTTCGATTTTATATGGCTACAAAGGAATATATAATAATATTTTTCTTTTTATTATTAATATTAAAAAAAAAAAAATTCAAATTCATAAAATATTTCTTATCAAGGATCCTTACACTTAGAGACCGAATTCATTCTCTTAAAGTAATTTTTATAATATGGGTGATATTTTGAATATGTAGTTATAAAATGCTGTTATACATAATATATACATGACGTGTGGCCATATACGAGTATGTTAAATATTTATTTTTTTTGCATATAAAAATATAGAAACCTCACACATGTGACTTTCTACATTACAACTATAGAACTGAGACTACATACTTGACAATTTATGAGTTTTCTTGATTTTATTATCTTATATTTTTTTTTGTTTTTATTTGCTTACATACAAATATAAATATTTACTTTTACATATTTTCTACATTTCGTCCTTTCTATATTATTTTTAAAAGGGACTTGCAGTTACTTTCCTTGTTTTTTTCTTGTATAATATTTTTATTCTTTTATTCAAAGATTTTTGTATACGTATACTCAATTTTATACTTTATATTATGTACATTTTTATGTATATAAAAAAATATATTTCTGGTTACTATGAGTATAAGAAATGCATAAAAATAAAAAGGAATTTTTTTTTTATATAAAAAATTCAAGGAAATTATCCTTAAAACTGCATATTTCTTCTTTATATTTTAGCTGAATCTGTTTTAATAAATCAGAATGATTGCGCTATATTCTTATTGTTTTTATAACTCTATATTCTCTATATTATTTTTTTTTTTTAAAAAAAATTTATTCTGTATATAAGGTTAACCAGTAGTAAGTGGAATGAAATAGAAAATTTCGACTCGTGTTCGCTCCTGTCTTGTAGAAATATAGTGAGAAATCATAATATATAGTTAAAACCTTTATTATGCTATTTTAAGAACTAAATTCATGAATTATTTTCCCATACACATTTTATGAAACACAGAATTTCAATACGGGTATTGGAGTTTAAATACTTGTACGAGTATCACAATATTGAAGTTATAATTGTGTAAAATATCGTGAATTTTGAATTGAATTTTCACTGTAAAATTAATAAGTAAATTTCATTCCAAAATAAATCATAAATATTATTATTAACTATGAATTCATACAGTTTACAATATGTATATTATCAAGCCCTCAGTGTAGTATGTTATTAAATATAAGTAGATTGTCACAAAATAGGGTTCATATAAATTGAGAGAAACTTAAATAGAATAGCAGTGATTGAAAAATATTATACCCCTTCTGAATATTTAAAATTTTCACTCAGCACTCTTATTTGTAAAAAGAGTTTTATTCCAAATGAGAAAATTATTTAAAATTTCGTTTCTTCTCTTTACTCTGTCTGAGTATGAAATTTCAAATTGCTTCTCTTTTCTAAATTTTTGCAAAGTAAGTATAAAAAAACAGTTCACTCTATATTGGATTCCATAAGAATTCCATAAGAATTCCATAAGAATTCCAGAATTTACTATTTTATTGCGATTTTTTATTACTTTACTCTACATTTTTTGTTTTTATTTGTATAAATCTTGATGTGAATTTGATGAATTTTTTCAAATCTTTTATTATACATTAAAACAAACACAATATATACATATTTAGTTCTAAATCATCTCTGATTTTCGAAAAAAAAAAAAAGTACACAAACATTTATGTTAATACAAGTTTTTATTAAGTATTATATTTGACAGTACAGAGTGTTTCATAATTTATGCAATATTTAAGGAATGAAAATAAGAAATGGATAAAGAAAAGAAGAGAAATAATGAAAAAAGAATTTGAAAACTAAGAAATGCATACCTAAATAATATAATTTACATTCAAAAAGAAAAAAAAACAAACAAAATAAGAGCAGAAAATAAAAATGGAAGTAATGGAACTTTTTCTAGTGATTTTTATATCCTGCTTTGATTTGATTTTATTAAGAATTACATCTAATGTAAGAAAAATCTATTTAGTGTATGAAATTTCTCTTCATTTTATATTTCAAGAAAAATTTCTTTCATTTCGAAACGAGAATTTTACGTTGTGAATGAAAACAAAAACAAAAACAAAAAAAAAAAACTTGGAATTTCTTTACCAAAATGCAGAAAGAAATTGTAAATTTTCATTGTGATTTTTAACCCTATAGTGCAATAAACTGGGTTGTATTTAATTCGTATATAAAACATGAAAATCTCTTTTCAATCTCTTCTCATAAAAATATAATCAATTTTATGGTGTACGAGGTGTAGTCCTTATTCTAGTTGTCATTACAAAAAATTTCCCTATGGCATTTTTCATTGTCTCAAATCGATATTTACTTAACTTTCCTAATATAGTGCAAATGTACAATGTAATGTTATATTTAATGTTAAAAAATAGTAAATATTAAAATATTCCAAATCAGATCTTACAGTTTCCAATATGTCCAATAATATACTCTAAAAATAGCATTCCTAATTTTCACTTACAAATCCCATTTAAGATAAAAACATAATAAGAATGGTTGTATGCGGCAAAATGTTAAAATTTATGGAATACACATTATTTAAATGGGACTGCCCAGAATCAAGTGAAACTACCGCTGCGAATTCCATCGCCAAAGGCAAAACAGCCCAAATTTTTACTTTACCACTGACGGTTTTTTTTAATGTCATCGGTTTCTATATGTGTGTGACATTAGATGTAAAATACTGTACAGTTCATTTTACAGTTCCACTGTTATTCTTAGTTAACAACCGAAATCATTTGCCGTTTACATTCATCCTTTTAGTTTTGTTGTAACAGTGTTAATGATAGGTATCTCAGAAAACATTTCAAAATAACCTACCCTTTTGAATGCAATACGGGTCAATAAAAACAAGTTATTCTTTTTCCTGTTCCGAGTTCATTTAACTGTTTCGTTGGTACTCCGTTACCTCTCTATTCTCTTTGAAAGTTACAATTTCAAAATTTTTGTTCAACCATGATTCAATATTATAATTTGAGTAATGAATAACTATAAATTGGAATTAACATTGAATTCATTATACGGTATTCCAATATCGTCAACAGAAACATAAGAGTCGCATATATCATGCTAAAATTTTACTAGCTAAGAAAGGGTTAATAAAATTTCTGTACTAGCTATTTTTTAATATTTTCTTAAAGTTCATTTCGCATCAAATCAAAAGATATATTATTAGCTCAGCTCAGCTCAGCTCAGCATTATATTATGAGAAATGTATATTGCATAAATTATAATGTGTAAGAAAAAGATTTATTTAAAAATATTGTACGATATTTTTCTAAGTAATTTAGGAACGATAAAAGAAAAGCAAAAAAAAGAAATATATTTTAGTCAAATAATTCATATGTGCATGAGAATTTTGTAATCCTTGATATATTTTTACATTTTGATGAAAAGTTTTATAAGTAAATTCGTGCATTATGTAAAATACATTGTACTTTGATATTCTCATAATATGAGAAAATATACATTTTAAGTATTCATAATGAAGGTGTATGTCAGTTTTATTTGGAAGGTGTTTTTAGCAACATTAAATTGATTATTATCCTTATATGACACGTCAAAATTTAACATAATATTTTTAAAAAAAATTTTTCTTTTTAAAATTCAAAAATGCATCTCAAAGAATCTTTATATTTCTGTTGAAATTGTCGCGCGTCTTACATTTAATTTAAAATTCTTTTGAAATTATAAGAATTTTTATCTTCTTTTTAGTCCTTTACTAAAATCTGTGTACCATTTTTTTTTGAATTTCTTTCTCAGATATTATGATAATAGAAAAGGAAATATTTGTACGTAGAGTGAAAATGAGTGATTTATATTTGTACTTCCAAATAATATTTTATTTGATTCTTAAAAATGCAATTACTACTCTTTTAAAATAATGAGAAAAATATTTTTGTTTCTCTATATACTAAATTTTCACTATAAAATGCTTAATATGTAATGGAAATTCAGAAATGAAAGCTGACACATCACACTTAATTTTTCATAATGCAATTTTTATTCCATATATATACTTGTACATGCATAACGAAGAATATATTCATTATCACGATAGTAAATTTTAATAAGTTAATTTTAGTGAGAAAACAAAATGCAAATGAATTTCATGATTTCTTCTCAATCATAAATAATATTATTCTATTATAAAAAGTTCTCTCAAAATTTTGTACTTACATAACAATTATATATGATAGTTTTAGTTTCATGCAAATCACTTATAAATTTGAGAAATGAGTTCGAAATAGAAAAAGTTCGAATATTATTTTATATAAAAAATAAATAAATATGTGAGAATAATTCAATATTGCAATATAAATTCGATTTAAAAAGAAGAGAACCTTAAATTTTTGGTAATTTGAGTATAAGGGAAAGTTTTACAAAATATAAGGTATCTAT